GTTGAAAAGTACAGGATGCCCTAATATACATGTGCGTGTATTAGGGTGCCTCTAAAAACACCTTTTTATGAAATAGTCTGCTGCCACCCCCTAAATGTGTTCTATGTAATAAATTAATACTAAATTTAAAAAATTTTTGAATAAAAAAAATCAGACCAATATTGTTGTTGTCGGTGACTTAAATGTTCATCACACAGAATCATTTTTAATGTTCATCACACATTCACCCTTAGGTGCTTCTGACACATCAGGGACACCATCCATTTGCAAAATGACACTGTTAATACTTTGATATTTTTCAGCTCTTAATGGAATAAACCTCTCCGAGAGCTACCACAGAGTTCAGGAACCCTGACTACCAGCCGGCCTCAGAACCATAAAACTAAGTTTTAGAGCTGTACCCTCAGTAGGAGATAATAGAATGAGTTGCCTAGTCATAAAAAAAGAGATACAAGCAAAACCCATGCATCGAGTCAAGAAGATTCAGCATTCAACATCCTTAACTGGAAACAATGTATAAAAAAATACATCTGCGCCAGCCTAATAGATGAAGGAGGGGTGCGAGGCTGGTCAACAGATAGAATCTGTTTTTATATATAATATATATATATATATATTTATATATATATATATATATATATATATATATATATATATATATATATATATATATATATATATTATATACTATATATATATATTATATACTATATATATATATATATATATATATATACAACCCTCTGAAATAGGGTCAGCATTCGGCAATGCCGACCTAACTGCCAACCTAAACGTGTTTGCAGTTGGCAAAAAAAATTTGGCTTTGCCGACCTTGTTCCAATGTTTTATGGTAAGACCTTTGTATTTGATGATGCTGATGCCGACCTCTAAAAGATTGAGGTTGGCAAATTATTGCCAACCTCAATTTTTCTAATTCCGAGGGTTGAATATATATATATATATATATATATATATATATATATATATATATACATGTATGTAAGAAAGAGCCAGGTTTTGAAAAAGCCGATGTCATTATATCTAACTTACTGTCACCCTACCATAATTATATTTTACTTTTTGTGTAGCAACACTGAATACCTGTCACCCACAAAAAATTTAGAGTTCTACTAAAAAAAATAGCGTCGTAAGGGTTAGGGTGTCCCAAAAAACAACATTTTTGAAAATAATCTGCTCTCACCCCCTAAATGTGTTCTATCTAATAATAACACTAGGTTTAAATTTTTTTGAATAAAAAATATTTTAAGGGGTCCTTCAAGACCCTCGAATATTTAATGGGTCCCTAATATTTTTGAAAAAAAAGTTTTTCAAAAATATGTCAAACTGGTACTCAAGTGAAGCGAAATTATATAAATATTTCAAAAATAATATTTATTTCGAAATATTTTTAACTTATTTATCAAGATTATCATAAAAAAACATTAGAAATGTATTTTTTTCATTTTTTCTTAAAAAACACAATTTTTTATGTAATAAAACCAAAAATAACAATTTTGTTTCGAAATGAATATTATTTTTGAAATTTTTATATAATTTCGCTTCATTTGAGTACCAGGTTGACATATTTTTGAAAAACTTTTTTTTCGAAAATATTAGGGACCCATTAAATATTCGAGGGTCTTGAGGGACCCTTAAAATATTTTTTATTCAAAAAAAATTTAAACCTAGTGTTTTTGCATTAGATAGAACACATTTAGGGGGTGAGAGCAGATTATTTTCAAAAATGTTGTTTTTTGGGACACCCTAGTGAGGATGTACTAAAAATTTTTAAAATAAAATGTTTTTTGGGGTTTACTTAATTACTTTTAAGATAAAGAATATTGTATTATTTGATAAAACATATATGCTGCATTGTTATATGTATGTGTGTCTTTCTTTTCCACAAATAATGTTAGATTTAAGTTTTGTAAAAAATGTTTAATTTCAGGTTATTTTTTTACCATACAAGTTTTTAAAAAAACCAATTTTTTATGCTGTGAAAAAGCCCACTTTTTCTATTTTGCTTTTTTTAAAACTGACTGTTAACTAAAAATAACTACTTTGCACTTTAACGACTTAATTTTTTTTCGTAATGCTTTATTGATCATATTCTATTGAAATTAATTGTTTGAATGAGTTTACCTGAAGTCATAAAACGTAGGTGCATTTGAATTTTAAAAAATATATTCAAATACTAATAAAGTTTTTAATAAAGCTTCATTTTTTTTAATGATTAAAATTCGTTTTTGTTTCAAACATTCTAATATTCTGTCAAAACTTATTTTGTATTATTGTATTCACTAGCACAATTATCACTATCACATATATTACTAGCACAGTTAATATATGTGAAATGCACTTATAATCACTATGATTCATAGATAACATTAATCATTATTGAGGATGTTATATGAGGATATTTTTTAAATAATTAAGTGAAACTATTATTAAAGTTGTTTTATCATTTGTTTTATCATTTGTTTTATCATTTGTTTTATCATTGATTATCATAGAATTATATAACTTGAAGTAAAAACTGATTTTTAGAAGTTTTTAACAAAATTTTTAGAAGAAGAACAGATTATTACTCTTAAAAGACTTGTTAGAAAAAACGTTACGTTTATAGGAGTGGCTCTTTCATTAACAAGATGTTATAAAAGAGCTGATTTCTCTCTTTTTTTAAAATAAGGTGTATGACAGATTTTTAGCATTGTTATCCAATTAATATATATATATATATATATATATATATATATATATATATATATATATATATATATATATATATATATATATATATATATATATATATATATATATATATATATATATATATATCAAGCCTTCTCAGGAAAGGTGTGCAGTTTTTCGTCTTATACGACCACGAAAACGTTTTTCAAGTTAAAGAACGTGATCACGGCCGTTTGAGCAAGTTTTATTATATGCGTTGCTGAAAAATTGTTTTAAATTTAATAACTACTTAAGAAATTAAAGTGAACATAAATAGAAAACTATAATAATAACTGTGTACTTTGTTTATAAGGAGCAAATTATTAAAAGTTTGCAGTGAGAAAGTTACAAAAAACAAAACAAAAACAATAAACTTACCACTACAAAAGTAATAACATTTTAGTCACTAACTGCATTATAAAAGTAATAAAACTATATTAGTGTTATTACATTTATAAAGCACTTATTACTTTTAAAGTTCATTCTTTGTTCAAACAACATTATTAATTCCAAACATTTATTAAAGTAGAAAAGTATCTAGAAAAAATAAATTGGATATTCAAATATTATTAAAAATTTCAGGAACTTTCACATATTACTTAAACAACGTTATAAAAAAGTACTTTATGAAAAGTATAGCATTATGAAAAACGTTACATAAAAACGCGCATTAATTTTGAAATCAACCAATAAACAATTTTATTGGTTAATTTTAAAATAAACATGCGTTTTTACGATCCATTAGTAATGTTTTTCATAATGCTAAACTTTTAATACGATACATTTTCATAAAGTTGTTTGTCACGTTTTTATAAGTTACTTTAGTTTTAATATTATTTGAACATCTACTTTATTCTTTTAGATATTTTTCTACTTCAATTAAAATTTGGAAATACTAATATTGCTTGAACAAAGAATGAATTTTAAAAGTTATAAGTGCATTATAAAAATAATAACACTATTTAGTGTTATTACTTTTGTAATGCAGTTAGTGACTTGGGTGTTATTACTTTTGTAATCGTAAGTTTATTGTTTTATTTTTTCGCTAACAAATTTAAGTTGATTTTCTACTTAAAAACAAGGAACACGGTTTTGTATAAACTAAAATTTTGAATACTAGATATTTTTCCAGATTTTGCATTTTGCATTCGCTTAATTCAACCCTTGTTGTTACATTAAAGTTATAGAAATAAATTTTACAAACACATTGCAGTTTGTATTTTTGCTATCCTCTTAAAAAAAATTAAGAAAAGGAAAATCATTCTTTTTATTGTAGACTTCAAACTGCTTTTTTTTGCTTCGCCATATCTAATTTTTGTTGCTGAATGTAACTCTAAAGAAACAAAAATAAAAACAGTACACAAATTATTTAAATTATTAATTTGTTTTTATTTTTTTCAATTTCAATCTCTTTTTATTTTGTTAGTTTTGTTTTTTTTTGTTTTTGAAACTTTTTCAGCATTATTATAAAACTTGCAAACGGCCATGTTCACGTTTTCTCAAACAGTGTAATTGTGTGTGGTCATACAAGAAAAAAAACCGCACGCCTTTCCTAGGAAGACTTGTATATATATATAAATATATATATATATATATATATATAAATATATATATATATATATATATATATATATATATATATATATATATATATATATATATATATATATACATATATATATACATATATACATATATACATATATACATATATACATATATATATATATATATATATATATATACATATATATTTATATATATATATATATATATATATATATATATATATATATATATATATATATATATATATATATATATATATATATATATATATATATAAATTTATATTACACAATACAGAATGGCTGATGATTGCCGAAAGGCATGAAACTCAGAGTTCCATTAAATTAATATAAATAAATATTGCTCTAGTATTTAATAGTATTGAGCACTCTTAAACGCACAAGAGTATTTGTATTATTATTATATTATACCATAATAATACATTATCTATTTTGTGTATATATATATATATATATATATATATATATATATATATATATATATATATATATATATATATATATATATATATATATATATACACATATATATTTATATACACATATATATTTATATATTTATATATATATATAAATAAATAAATATATATATATATATATATATATATATATATATATATATATATATATATAAATATATATATATATATATATATATTTATAGAAATAGAAGATATATACCTTGCCCTGCTGCAATAGCAGGGATAGGAAGATTCATTGCAAAGCAGACATAAGATATTAGTATAAAATCAAAATAGCTGTTATGGGTAGGTGCTAAAACAACAGGAGTCAAATAGCTGCATTCTCTAAACTAAATTTTGAAAAAAAAAATATATAAATAAAAAGAAAGAAAAGATAATAATTCAAAAGAATTTAATAATATAATTTGAAAAGAAAAAGTATGCTTAATATGTTTAGGATATGTGACACTTAGTATGTTTAAAATACTATATAATAATAATAACAATAATCTATATAATAATGCTAAACTTAATAGTAATAGTATTGGCCTTATGAGCGTGTTTGACATAAAACTTTTGGCAGCTGTTGTAACCAAGGTAATGGCAAGAAAGAGAGGCAGCACTTTTTTAATAAGGAAATGTGAATGAAAATATCTAACTAATTTTAAACATCTTCACTTTGAACAAGGCTGCAGGCAACCACTATTAGAATTGGAAGTTACTGGAAGAGAAAAAATGACGTTTATAGAGCAAAATAACAATTGACAAAAGACTTAAAAGATTGCAAATTATATGAATAAAAAAAAAAAAGATAAAGGAAGCAAATTCCAAAGATTTTGGAGAACTGGAGTATGAGGGGAAACTAGACGAATGAAAATTTTGTGAGCACTTTGGAACAGTCACAGTAAAAAAATGAGACTTGAATTGAATCAGAAGTAACATACAAATGAATTTTAGTAATGGTTGAAGGTTGGCTGCAAGAGCAGGTTCTACCATGTTTACAATGCATTTTTTTTGTGTTTTTTTTTTTAATTCTGATTAACTTCCAACAAGGCTGCAAGCAACCACTTTTAAGTTGGGTGTAGAAAAAAAAGAATAGTGTTATAGAACAAGGAAGTAGTTGTCGGAAGACTTAAAAAGTTGAAGGTTGTATGAGTCAGCATGAAAAGTTGAAGGTTGTATGAAGATGGGAGAGATGAATAAAAGTTTTTAGAGCATGCAGGGACAGATATAGTAAACGAATGTGACTTTGCCGAATGAAGAGTCAAGCGAGAATGAGTTTTAGTTGATTGAACCATAGCTGATAGCTATTTTGATTTTTTAAAGAGGATCAAGCTTAGCAGATGGAGGTGATCTAACTATGTTTACAATGCCCTTTTGGACCTTGTCTAGATCATCATTAGAAGAACCAGCCCAAATATGATAACAGTATCCTAATACAGGGGCAAATAACACATTATTAGAGGTAGAGAATGGAATCAGGAGAAAGAAAATGGCGAGAATGACAAAAAAAAGAAATTTTTTGTACCTTGTCTAAAAGAGAAACAGCATCATTGGAAAATCCACCCCAGATATGGCAACAGTATTCCCAGAACTTGAGATTTATAGAGATAAAGAATAGAATCCCAAGTAAGAAAATAGCAAACGCAATAAAGAGAAGCAACCTTAGCTGATGCTGATTTTGCAATTGATTTGATATATTTTAAAACATTTATCAAGTTTTACCATTTAACTTTTACTTAAAAATTGTATTGCAGCAATATATCCTTAATTTGATCTATACCATTTATTTGCTGCTTTACAAAGCCTTTTGTTTGGTAAATACTATTAAAATATTTGTCATACAATACACCTTAACTACCAAAGTGGTTTGCTTGCAGCATTTCTGATGTGCATCGCTGTAATAACAGGCTAAGTTCAATAAGTTCTTGGTAATCCTCTCAAGTGAATCCTAACTATAGGCATTCACGGAAGCCATTTGTTAAGCTTTCTTGTTCCTTCTCAGTTGCTTTAGGAAGTTCAGGATAGTAAAATTTTGCTCTATTAACTTGTGGAAAATGCAAGCAGTAAGTGACCAGGGTTGATATTTGACTGGGGCTGGGGCCAGGGCCGGGTTTGTGACCAGGGCTGCATAAATATATATACATTTCAAAGTATTATTTTTTAATTTATGTTATATTTTGTGTATATAAGTATATATAAACATCATTATGATCAACATGATCATCATTACCATCATCATCCTCATGATCGTCATCATAATCTGATCATCATTTGGCTTCTAATCTGTTTAATTTTTTTCTAATCTGTCTAAGATTATACCTCTTTTTCTTGTTTTATTAGTGTCAGACCACACATCCATCTAATCATCTTCTATTTTGGCTACACCATATAAATACTAAAGACTACACCATATAAATACTAAAGTTAAAGTTAAATATAAATATGAAAAGATATTGTATGCCAGCATCTAAATAAATAGCAAACATATATATGTTTATATCCATAATATGTATGCATAAATCTCAAACGCTTATATTCCTTCTGGAATAAAAGTTTAGAAGCTTTTATTGCTTCTCTTCAACTTTAAGCCAAGCCTCATTCTACTCCACATTTTTCACCATCTTGAGCAGTTGCTTTATTAAACATCAATCATTTCATTCATCTTTTTTACAAGAACATCTCTCTTAAAAACAAATGTCCTTTTATTATTTCAAGAAGCTAGTGTAAAAAGGTCCTGTCTAATATTAACCTCTGTTATTCTCAGTTTACTAAATCTTGGATCTTATCTTAGATGTTAGGTTCTAGAGACTTTTGGTTCGTCTTCAACAGTGTTATTAACTAACATTTAATCTCTAATTCATGGGTCTGATCTTTTTACTTCTACCCAGAATAAAGCAGAGTTATTTGCAAAGAAATGTTACTCTAATTTGACTCTTGAACCTAATGGCCATACTCTTCCTGCCAGTTAAACAGATTAACCCATTGTTAAACATCCAAATCACTCTGGCTTCCAATGCTAAAGTTACTTCTCAATTAAACACTTTACAGTTTGTGCTCCAGACAATATTACCATCATAGTCTTAAAAAGACTATGATGGTAATATTGTCTGGAGCACAAACTGTAAAGTGTTTAATTGAGAAGTAACTTTAGCATTGGAAGCCAGAGTGATTTGGATGTTTAACAATGGGTTAATCTGTTTAATTTCAATATTTGCTAAATTTTTAAAAAGTACTAAATAAGTGGTTTCAATTTTTCAAAACTTTAAAAACAACTTAGACTTCTCCAACTTTCCTATGTAATAGTAGGATAGTTATCCTACGTAATCGTAGTCTTCACTATGTTATTAGTTTCTTTATATAAAGGTTTTTAGATTATTAAACTATTTCTTTCTAACTGCAGTACTAAAGTTATTTTTGAAGGCCTACATTTTTCTTTATTTCAAATAACTTTAAGGGTACCACAAGGCTCTATCTTTGCTCCTGTATTGCATCTTATCTACAATATCAATCTTCATGAAAGTTTTACATTAAAAGTGGTTCTATTTACTGACTACTCAAATTAATACTCTTGCCTTGACAAAAGTCTTCACTTTTTGATTGCTTAGAACAAACAGCCTAATTTTATTGGATCTCTCTTCTGCTAAAAGCCTAAGGCTTGCAGTAGCTTATGGATTTAAGTTCTAGACCTAAAATCCAAAATTTTTGATAGACAACAAAACTCATTTATTTACTGCAAAAAAGTATTGAAATATTGTTGGCATTCCTGTATGACAAATAACAACCCTGTTACTCTCGAACAAGTCTAAAAGCACATTGTAAATGTAATTAGACCTGCTTTATCTGCCAAGCATTAGCCACTCTCCCATTGTTGTAAGGTTGCATTTCTTTTCTTTTTTTTTCTACAAATACTAAGATGCTTAATGCTTGAACTATTTGCTTAATTTAACTTAACTATTTGCCTAACTATTTTTATTTGCTTAACTATTTGCTTAACTATTTTTAACTATTTGCTTTGGTCAATGCTTAAACAAACTATTAAGATAAACCAAAACTCATTCTTGCTTAGCTTCTTATTCAACAAGTTGCATCCTTTTACTGTATCTGTTCCTTCATGCTATAAAAACTTTTATTAATCTAGTTTTTTTCCTTGCAACCCATCTACAAGTTTTACTTTTTTATACAGCCTACAACTTTTTAAGTTATAAGTTAACCGTTTATAGTATTTTAACTTATTCTCTATTTTAAAGCAATTCAATACTTAATAGTGGTTGCTTGTAATCTTGTTGGAAGTAAATTAGAGTTTAAAAATATACAAATATATACAAGTATTTATTAAATAGTAAATGTAAGCATAAAATTATAATATATAAAGTATTATCAATTTTTTTCTAGCCCCGGCTATCAACCCTTGCTAAACCTTATAATTTTGCTGGGGCCCGGTTTGCAAAATAACTTATTTTTACCCAGGACGGGGACAGGGCCCTGGTCACTTACTTGTTGCAAATAGTGGTTCTTGAATCTGCAACAACTTATAATCATTTTGTTAGTTAAAGCCACTTGAGCCTATTTAGGTCACTGAGTACATTGAGTCTATTTAATCAATTTAAAAAATCTTTTTGTTCAACGATGTTGTAAAAGCATTAGGCTTACTTTGTAAAAAGTTGAATATTTAGAACGGATAAGCGTCTATATTTATTGAATCCCAACAATTGCAAAGCATGACTTCTCCTACATGCCTGCAGCATGCAAACCACAACAACGGAATGTCTAGCTCTCTCTGCAGGCAGATACATGCTGCAGTATGCTATCCTACGATGTAAAGAATGAATTTATTAATTATTTAATAAAACTATGCCTAATAGCCTTACAATAAACCCATTATTTAAAACCTCCACAGTATTTGTAATCCTAGAGTTTGTGCAAAAAATGATTTGTTGATTTGAAATTTAATAAACTATTAACATATCACAAAATTTAACAAATAATTGCTTTGTTAAAGCCTAACCTGTATTCGAGGATGTTGTGTCAAAGATGTATCTATGATGTTTTTGTCGCATTTCCAATCTACGAGTAGACTTTTTGTTACAATAGAGACAACATTACCATGTTTCGGATCAGCTTTTGTGGTTGAACTTGGAAGAGGTTGTACACCAAGAGGTTTAGTTTCACTGACTCCGGATACTAAAACAGGTAGACAATCATCAGCGTCTTTAGAGTCCAAGGTAGCCATCAGTTTTCTTTCCCAATGTACCACCATTTTTGGAGACGAATTCCATTTGTCTTTTATTTGTTTGCTGATATGGGGCAGTACTGATGCTTGATAGTGATGGGCTGAACTGGAACTTAGATTTATCTTTAAAAAATCTCCTCCACAGACAGATATAATTAATTATACAAATGAACTCATCTTAGTATTACTAATTTTATTCCTCACAGTCCAGGCAATATCATTTGGATTCTTGAGAATAACATATGGAACAAATATGTGTTCACCAGATTTAATTTACCTTTTGTGTTGCATTTCAATTTCAGAGCAAACTGAGCTGAGTCCAGCAAGTCCCCACAACCGATTCATCACAAGAACTGTTGGTTAACTCAAACTCAATAGTTTCTTTGAACACTACTGAATGGTCTCTTTTGGGAAAAGCTTCATCATTGGTTCTTTTCTGCTTTTTCTCGACAACTTTTGCATGGATTGTGTCAATTCCTTAATAATATGCTTTCCTTTCAGTTATCATGCTTTGCATGATGGATTGTCAATGATATCGTAAAACGATACTATTGACAGCGCACTAAACCACTGAGTTATCGAAGTTATTCATGTAAGAGAAAAAATAAACCATTTTATAAATCGCTTATATGCTCTACATATGTTGAAAAGGTATGCTAATTTCTTTTACGTAATATAAGTATAGAATATAAGGAATAAGTATAGAAATGATCAATGTGGAATAGATAAATAAAAAGTATAAAAAAGTATATATATATATATATATATATATATATATATATATATATATATAAATACTTTTTTATACATATATATATATATATATATATATATATATATATATATATATATATATAAAGATCATCTTGGAATAGTATTTTTACGGGTTCGGTCAGCTAGTAAAAATAATAATGACAATAGGTAGACATTATTTGTACGCACATACAACTATTTTTTTCTTAGTTGTATGTGCATATTTAAACATAAGTTATTATTAATTATTTTATTAAAATATTAAATATTAAAATACTTTTATTTTATTTAAAAGAATGTTTGCTCAAACCTTGACAATTTGAACAAAAAACCACCGAGAAAACTAAGAAAACTAAACTTTAAAATAACTTAAGAGAAAGTTAAAAAAATAAAATAAAAAAAGGAATAACTAGGTAATTAAAAAAAAAAAACCTAAGCTAAAAAAATAAAAAACTTGAGAGGAAAAAAAAAAAACAACCTAAGCTAAAAAAAAAAATAACTTAAGAGGTAATTAAAAAAAGCAGTATAAAGTTTAACAAAAGAGAAAATCAAAAAATTAAAACTTAAAAAAAAAAAAAAAAAAAACTCAAAAGCAAATAGAAAATTATTTTACTTTTTATTATTTTTGTAATATATAACATCAATCTTTTCTAAGGGTTTGTCCATAAAGTATGTACTCCAAAAATTTTTAAATTTGACCCCTATCACATGGGGATAAAAAGTATATATAAAAAGAGGGGGACTTAAAAGTATGCAATGAATACTTTTAATTCCCCACCCCTTTAAAAAATATATACATTTTTGAAATACCCTTCCCCCCCCCCCCCCACACACACACAATTTTTTTTTTCTTTAATAAGTTTATTGAAAAAAATTACATGATATCAATGTTTTTGCTTGGCCGAGAGGTTAATGCTTAGGACTACAGCAGCGGAGACCAGAGTTCGAGTCTCAGTCAAGTCATATTGTACTTTTTTTTGTTTTAATGATAAATCAAATAAAAATAAACTATACTCCTAGGCACCTCTCTTTAGTAAGAGTCTTAAGCGAGATCAGTAATATTGAAAACAAAGACTAAAACCCAGTGCAGAGGGTAGGCTACCCATACCTTTTACCCCATACCTCTTTATTAAGGAGGGGGCAGCAAATTTTGTGCCTTTTTGCTAATTTAAGGAGCTTTTTATTTTAGCAAAACCTAGTGGTAAAATTTGGAAGATTTTGAGACCCTAATGACACGTTTTTTTAGGGGGCCTCCACCTTATTAGCCACAGCACTACTAAAAACTGTTGTGAACTCAAAAAAAAAGGTTGCCTTGAATATGCCTTACTCAGGGCCAGTATATAAGGGGTGACATATGTGTGCATAGAGGGAAACTACACCCTCGACTCCCCTATACCATACATCTTTTTATGTTGGCAAACTAGGATCTTTAGTCAGAATTTTAACTTTTCTAATGATTAGCTTCGTAATTGTGATAAATTAGAAAATCGATGTACGTACTTTTAAATTTCCACCCCCACCCCTATCTGCTTTCATATGCTATTTGAAGAACCCTTCTCCCCTATGAACGTACATACTTTATGGACAACCCCTTATGCTTTTATATTATTACATAATATACAATTACCATAAAAATGATAAAATTTCGTTAAAATGTGCATACAAGCTTTGTCAAAAGGAATCCCATAGTCAACATTAGCGTAACATAACTTTGTAAATACAGAATACATTATTAGTAACACCCAATAATGTATTCTACAATCATAGTGTGTATCACTATAAAATACAAAGGTCTCAAAAAGACCATAACAAATTTTACTGTTAACATAGTTCAAACATATTTATTTTATCAGTTCCACAAGCCTTTTAGTTCTAGTAGAAACTATATTTTTGATAAATCTGAAATTAAAAAATGTAAAACACAACAACAATGTAATTTATCACAATGTTGTTGTGTTTTGCAATTTTTTAATTTCAGATTTATTAACTACAATCAAAATAACTTGTTCAATACCATAGAAATGTCAACTAAACTTAATAACCAAAAAAAAACTGTTTTAAAATGTTTCCAAACATTTTGAGACAGGTAAGTTTATAAACAGCAAAAATGTTTTGGTGTTTTTTTTTTTAAAGAAACAATTTTCACAAAATGTCATTAAAACATTTTTTTTAATTGTGATAAAAACATTTATAAAAAATATATTGCAAACCAAGTCAATATTAAAATTACAGTATCTCACTCAACCATCCAGCTGTCAAGATATGAAACAAAAACAAAGAAACATGATGTGATTAATTGAAATAAGCAATGTGTCTATTTTTAAAGCATATAAAAATGGAATCCAATTATAATGTCTAATACATGAAGAATGCATTTCTTGAACCAACAACAAAATTCTTTGAAAAACATGACTTACACATATTTCCCACAATAATTGCTGGTTTACACAACTAAGAAAAGTTTCATGTGGTTAAAAGCAGGTGAGGCAACTTACCAAAGAGATTGAAAACTCTGAAAATCGACTCCTAATTCTTTTTTAAGGTGTGTAAAAATAGGAGGAGGAGCTCATAAACTATGAATAGTAATCTTCCTAGAAGCTCCTATAAGGTAATAGTGGTAATAAGTGGTAATATTCCTAGAAGCATTATAACAAATAAAAATACACAGCTTGGATCTGCAAAGCAAGTTATCAGCAAGAAGCGCATTTAGTTATAAAAAAATGTTTTAACACTTAAATAATGTCATTATGAAAATAATTACATTATTGTTTCAAAAATTTTTGTTTTTGCAAAAAATTTATTATAAACATGATGCTACTAAAAAATTTTCACTTAAAAATTTTCACTAAAAAGTATTATTTGCTATTAGCAACTAATATTTTCATAAAATTTCCTGCAACCCTGCAACCAAAAATGTTAAAACCCTGCAAATATAAGTGACTTTAATAACCCTGCAAATATAAGTGACTTTTAATAACCCTGCAACTATAAGTGATTAAAAATCACACAAAATTCAATAATTAGTAATAACTGTAATTAAATATAGAATGACATTAAACTAAAAATAACAATGTTTACTTTTTACTTACAGCATCTATACCATCTTTGTTGACAAGTACTTCTTTAAATAGTTTTCTTACTGTCTTCATAATAATATATGCCATGAAACGAATAGTTCGTAAACTAAATGCATGAGATATTTCATCAATTATACTTGCAGCATTTTTATAAGCAGTGTTACTATCAATCCCTGTCTCTTGCTTGTGCTAAAAATCCAAAAAAATATTCTTGTTTGTGCTGAAATGAACAACACTTAATTTATTATTGTTATTATTGTTACCATTATTATTATAGCATATAATTAATACTTAATTTAACGCTGCTGCTGATGCTACCGATTCATGCATGTTTACAGAGAGTTTTAGGATAAATATGATTTAACTTTCTCTTTATACTTTTGACACGATGAGATACTCTTAAATCTTAATAATCTGTAAATATCTGCTTAATCAGTAATAAGATCAAAAGCTTTGCTTGATCAGTTTAAATAGTAACAAGATCGACAATTTATATTTGATAACTTCTGTAGTAAATGATGAATCTTATGTTAAATTAGTAACTTTTTAAGTCAGGCAATTCATTTAATTCATGCATTATAATAATAACACAATTCCTTTGTCCTTTGTCAATTGTATCTAAAGTATATTAGTCTGTAATTTTTAAATTAGAAGATGATGATGACTCTAGAAGACGTTGCTCTTTTCAAAGGTCAAGAGGTGAAACTCTTCATAAAGTTAGTGCTTATCTCCAAAACCCTTTAATCTCACACGGTCAACATGTTACATGTTAAAGAAAAAGATTGTTTAAAAAATTGAAAAAAAAAAAATTGTTTGTTTTTCTAATATAAAAAACCAGATTGTTTGATCGTTTGTTTTTCCAAGTTGTTAAACATTTAATACAAGGTATGTCATTAAACAAATATTACAAAAATAAAGTTGTATTTGTAAAGTTTCTAATTTATATATTTTTCTTAATTTATATATTTATTTATATTTGTGTGTTATTTATTGTCTTTATATGTGTTAAGATTATAAGATTATATGATTTTGTATTTTGTAAGTGTGTAAATATCTTTTATATATGAGTGTTTCTATGTTTGTGATATAATGTTATTTGTTTATAGTTTGTAAGTGGTTATTATGTTGTTTGCATGGTTTTAAATAGTTGTGACTTGGCTTAGTTTACAGCAAGGTTGTTGACCTTGCTAGCCAAGTGGTGCACTTTGTTATAATGTGACTTTGCTTTGTTGAGAACAAAAATGTTGCTCATGCCAGTAAAGTAGGGTACTGTCATAATGAAACATAAATTAAACCTGTAGTGTATTCATAAAATGTGTTAATAAAATATTGTTGAAAGAATGTGTTTAAAAGAAATGTTGAAAAGATATATAGTTTTTTAAATGTTGAAAAGATATATATTTTTAAAAGATATATAGCTATAGATATATAGTTTTTTAATACTATAACTTTTTTAATGTTTACAATTTTAAGTAAATTTTATTGGAAAGATATATACTTCATTAAATATCTATATACAGATATTTTTTAAGTAAATTTTGTTTCAAAGATATATACTCTTTTCTTTTTTGTTAACTACTTATGCTTTTTTTGATAAATAAATTTTGTTAAAAAACAGGCTTCCTTTTAATAATAGTTCCTCCCCATTTAAAGATTTAAAAGTTTCTATTATCCTTCACTAAATATGTTTAACTTAAATTTATTGTTTTTTATAAAGATAAGTATACAAAGTGTTATAACATAAGTTTTAGTAACTCTCCTTAAATTTTCAGGATTTTTTGAATAGAGAATATTTTCTCCATAGTAATATTTAAATGTTTTACATAAATACATACATACATAAATTTTAATTTTTCTGCATTGTATTATTGACCATTTTCTTTAGAGTATTAAATATATAAAAAAAAATTAAAATAGTTTAATAAGTTTTAATATTTTCAAGTTTCTTCACTTAAAGCAAATATAAGATTTTTTATAGAGGTTTTCTATTATTAGTTTTGTATTTACTTATTTATTATTTATTTATTCTTGCATTAAATGCATTTTAAAATTATGAAAGAGATTTTTGAAGGATTACATTTTATTGTTCAATGCTAGCAGTATTTGCTGAGCAGACAAGCCTTATAACTTTTTCAATTTGCTTTGTTTATGAGTTCTTATCTGTAAAAATTTTGTAATATTTTTAAAATTTTGTTTTTTTTGTTTTTATAAACAAATACTAATAATATTTTGTCAATAATCATTAATAACTACCTTATGTATAGCATAACTCAGTTATAAAGATTTTATAATTGAGTTATATTATATATAAGGTAGTTAGTTTTATCTTTACACATATTGTTATATTATTTTAAAACATGTAATTTAAATACGAATAAGAGTAGAGGTAGAATAAAGTGTTTTATTTGCTTTCACTTTATTTTAGGTAAGTTAAGAAAACTAAAAGTTCAACTTTTATTATATTAAGCAACAATTTTACAAACTCCTTTGATGCTTAGTTATGTCTGATAATTTAATAAGTGAAACCGTTAGACTTCAATGAAATGAAAGAAACCAGGCTAGGTGAGATGAATTGAACTGTCGCCAAAATAAAAAGAGATGACCTTAGGCTAGCTGAGCTAAATCGTTGTCGAAATAAAAGAGATAAGACTAGGTGAGCTAAGATAAACTGCAGTAAAAATGAAAGATATCAGGCTAGGCGAGAACTCAGTAAGTGTAAATTCATTGCATAACAAGAAATAATTTTGCTATAAGGTGTAACTACTTCAGAGAATCAAACTATATTTGTCAGTATTGTGGTACAAAGACGTTTTTGAATAAAACACATTTTTTTGCTGCCATTAAGGAAAAGTTGTATTAGCTCCTTTTTCTTCATATACACCATTTTTTAATAATGACAGGAAACCATATTGATTATCCTGCCAATCAAAATTTTTTAAACACCTAAGAAATTATAGTTGCTCTCTACTTTTTGCTTTTTTCACAGCTAAAATAGCTTTTCCCTCAAATAATGGCCTTTTCTGCTTTAGGGTTTATGGGAAAACTTTGCATCATGTTCAAAATTTAAGTCTGAAGTGGTTTTTCTACACATATTTTTAACTAAATATATATGATCCTAATTCAGTAGTGTCGTTTAGAATGAAGCAACCTGGTAATGATGGTTGTATAAATGAGTTAATGCCAATTTTTAATTTTCTTTTCTTTTTAGCTATGCTTTTTTAAAAAGAGTTGTTAATCCAAACTTGCAATATAAATCTTAAAACTTTCACAAAAGAAATAAGCCTCACAAAGTAAGTTTCTTATTTGTTTTGCCACATTTTTCAAATAAATAAATAGTACATAACAAAATAATGTGTATTAAGTGTATTCAATAAATAACTTTGTTCCATTTTTAGGTCCAATTCCTTCTCCTATGACTGATTTTGAAAGTTCCTACATAACAGAATTTAAGAAATTTTCTGAATGCTGATTGTATTCAAAAAGCTTAAACTAAGTTTGATAATCTTCATACCATTTACTAAAAGCTATATAATAATGAAACAGTGTTTCATCATTCAATTTAATTTTTTTTTATAAGTATTTTTGATACTTTTTATGTTGATTATTTTTTAAAATGTTTATATTTTTATTTTATCAAGGAAAACGTGTTGGAATTATTGTTTTGAATGGATATTTTGGCAATTTTTCCTTTGTTTTTTATATTTCTGCTTTTTTTTTTTATATATGTGAATAGAAACCATTTATACTTTAATCACCTTTTGTACTCGAAGTTTCCATTTGCATCAAGTATCGATTTTTGGCACAAATAACAGGTTTAATAATTTATTTGCCTAACTTTGGTAGTAAAAACAGCTGAATTGAATGAATTTGTAAGAGTTTTTTTACAGAAACACTTTTATAAATAATATCAAACCGATAAAGCTAACTTATTTAAAATAACAAGTCTCTTTGGTCCGTTTTTCAAAGTCCAAATATGCGTTTAAAATAAATCTTAATCAGGGGTATAATATTATTATAGCGTAAGTTTCCGAAAACACCTGAAGAAATGTTACGCAACTGTCTCTTATATGTTAAAGACCCTTTTATTATGTATAAAATATTGTAGTATACTAAGTAAATAAGTACGGTTCTAAAATATAGTAAATTAATTGTTAACTAAAAGCCAAAAATTTTAAATCAACTTTAATTTTTTGCTGTTTACTATAATAAAAGTATATAACCATATTAAGAACAAGTTTAGAAATATTTGGGTATGGAAAAGACTTACCACGACCCGTATTATACGGGCCATGACAGCTAGTTATTATTATTATTATTATTACTAGCTGATCTGACCCGTAAAAATACAGGTCTTTATAAGTCTATTCCACACTGACCTTTTCTACTCTTTTTCTTATATATATCCTAGGTTTTCGGACCCATAAAATACGGGTCTTTACCAAACCTACCATTTCTATACTTATCTATTCCACACCGATCATTTCTATACCTATTATTTGTTTACTTCATTATTTTTTGCTTTAAGAGCAAATAATGAAGTAAACAATTAATAGGTATAGAAAAATTGCTTTAAGAGCAAAAAAGCTACCATGTATATCCGCATACCTAGATCTTATAAAAGATTTATAATTAGGTTTGTTTTTCTCCTAAATGCATATCATTGATAGCTTAATGGTTTAGTGCATTGTCATCAATGTTGTTTTGGGGGATTAAAGATCTACCCTAACAAATTTTGAACATTATCAATCTTGCTATATTATAGCAATATATGTAGCAAAAAATTTTTTAAAGTATTTATTTTTAATAATCATAGTAATATTTTTAGCATTTATAGCATTTGGTATATTATAAAAGTTATAATATACCAAAAAAGTTTTCTAATTGTTAAAATAAAATTCAAAAGTTTTCTTATTTTTAAAATCATATATTTAATAAAACAGTTTAATTAAAATATTTTGAATTATGTTCTTATTAAAAACTAATTTTTTGAACCCCTTTACTGTTTAAAAAATTTAAGGTCGCTATGTGGCAAGATCAAATCATCAGTTTCGTTATTTTTAAAATTTTTGTTATTTAAAATGCAAATCAAAACAATTTCATAGTTCTATATATTTTATATTCTATATATAAACATGTTGTATACTCATTTTTCTTGCACTAACTTAACTTAGTTATAAAAAAAAATTGAA